TGCCCCCTCCCCGCTTCTTGTGCACCTCCAGCCTTCTCAGTCGGTAGAGCATGGGAAGCTGAACAGTCCTTGGCTAGTGTAAACACTACCTAGCAACAACTAAAACATCGGTGTGTTATCAACATTGTTCTCACCCTAAATCCAAAACACAGCACTGTACCAGCTACTAGGAAGGAAATTAACTCTATCCCTGCCGAAACCAGGGCAGATGCTTACTGGCCTGTTGTGACTTTCATATAGATTTGAGGATTACTTATTTCAGTTAATATAAAAACCTAAATACTCTGGTCCCAGTTGTACCCTCAGCTATTTCAATGCGGCTCTGGTTCACGTTAGTGAGTGTCACATACATATCTTTGAGAGCAGAATTTGACCTATTTGTGATTTGTATAGAACTTTTCAGCAGGCTTTCCATACTTTGGAGAACAAAGAAGAGTGAAAGAGCAACCGTTCCCCACCCCACCCCTTTATTCTTTTTTGGCGCTGTGTGGGATGGAACATCGAAAAGTTCCTTCTCTGGAGAACTGCATCTTATTCATGTCCCCGCTGGTTTGAAACACAATTTTTGCATAGTAGCAGCTATTAAGAGTTGAATGTTTGGCTGTTAAGTATGTTTGGAAAACACACCAGCTGCAGGCAGTGGGACTGTGAAGAGGTGGCACGTGTCTGGCTTGGTGCACTGGAATTTTCAAGTCTCAGGAGCAGGCTGCAGCTGGAGGACAGGGAGGGCATCTTGTCATGATTGTGCTGCCCACCATGGCAATAATGAGGATGGGTGTTACTGAAAATAAAGGAGATAATTTGGCATGGATGGGGAGCAAAAACAAAGGCAGAGAGTGAGAGAAGAATGCCTTCCCTTGGAGGTGTGTTGCAGGCTGCACAGATTCCCTGCTCCTAGAGCTGCCGAGATTAAATTAGTAATTACCATTTCTAGTAAATTACCATTTCTCCTGACATAGAGAATGCTGTAATTAACCTGAAAACTAACTGGTGGCTTTTGTTGGCTTCTAGCTGGCTGGTAAGAGGTTTAATTTATAAACTCAAATAATGTAAACCAACCAACATGCATTTGCTCTGCACAGAGTGGATGAGAAGCATTTGCAGGTGACTGCTGCATGGGGAAAGTCCTGTCTGCTGCTGTTGTGGGCTGTGTGTGAGGGGGCTTCCTCTTATCCATGCTACAACTGGGAGTTCAAGTGTTGCGTGAGCTGCGTGAGCTACAGGGATGTTACAGCCAAAACACCAGTGTAGGCTCACATTCCTGTCTGGTGTGCTTTATGAAATTTAGATGCAAGCACGTCCCATCTGTGTTGTTACTATATTTTCCGTTACTCCAATGGCTCACAGCTCCTGTGGATCAGGGACCTGGTACATTTGCCCTTTATAAGCAGAAATAGAAACATAATCTCTGTCCCAGGGAGCTGTGTAAGTAGAAAAGAGACTGCATATAACAGGGAAGTCACAACAGTGACCCCTTTCAGCCTACCTTCCACTGACAGTTTGCACTTTCTTCAGAACCAAGGAAGAAGAAAACCCCAGGAAAAATGAAATGGCTTTGTGGATGTCTTGGGGGAGCCTGTTCCAAAGCTAAAGGGACACATGAAAAAGTGCATGTTTAAAATAATAGTGGAAGGTGATCGAGCCATGC